TGGGCAAGTGCTCCGTGAACAAGGCTCCCTGACGCGCCCCCTAAACCCTAAACCCTAAACCCTAAACCCTAATTCCTAACCCCTAAACCCTACACCCTAAACCCCAAACCCTACTCTAATTCATAAGGCCCCTATAGTAAGGTTTTTTGGGTCGCTAGGGCTGGCGACTTCAGCCGGGAGCCTCGGCACAAAGATCTGCCACCTGAAGAGCCCAGGAAGGACAACGACTGGGGCTTTAGGGCAAAATTTAGGGTGTACTTCTCATATGTCCTAAAGTCCTAAAGCATACTCTCCCTAAGCTTTCATACCACATCACATCATATCATATCATATCCTATCAAGGAGACCCATGGTTTGTTCTCTAAATTAGGGTCCCTTTTAGGGTCCGCAGAAAAGTACGGCACCCTGATAAAAGGGAATCTGCTTTGGAGAACTGCTCAGAACACAGTATATCATGGCATCTGGCCTTGGAAAGGTGCGGCAGAACTCCGGGATCTGATGCTCGAGGCTGTAGTGCATTACGTGAAAGAAGGAGGGCAGAAGACAGGGTTTAGGGTGTTGTGGTTTGAGAGAGAGAGAGAGAGAGAGATTGAGATTGAGAGAGAGAAAGAGAGATGAATAGGGTGAGGGGGAAGGAGAGAAAGGGAGAGAGAGACAGAAAGCGAGCAACACGGACACAACGAGAGGACGAGAGGCCTTCTATCTTACATAATTCAATCTGCTTGTTCATGTTCCCTGGAATTCCATTGAATTAGTATCTTTTGACCATTTTGCGCGTATCTTTTGTAAGGGTGAGCCGAATCCTGGGTCGCATCATACCCAATACTTTGGAATACCCTTTGAAGCTCGCTGCACCGCGCTGAACATTCGAGCAGTAGACATGCCGTGACATGCTGGATGCAGTATCTGACTTGATGACATCGGCTTTCCAAGGCTGCTAGGCTGGACGTGCTAACAACACTTGCCCGGATTCGCATGCTATCATACTTCATCAGAAAGCGGCCCTCACGTAAACAAGGAATAGCTCAAGAGACTTGTTGTGAAGAACACCCGAAACATTGCAAATCCTCAAACTCTCATGTGCCCCATGCAGATCTACTGCATCATGGAGCTCGAGGATATCCCTCAGCCACTTGACTTGAGCTGGATACATATTAGACTTCTGTGCAGTACCTACTCTTGCCGCTACCGAAAATGGCAGCTCTCCCTCTTTCTCTCTGCCAGGGACCCTGCAGTAAGAATGCCAGCAGTCTGGCAAAAAAGGTCATTCCTGGCACACGTTTGAGCAGTCAGTACAGTTGTTGCTGTGATTTCTGTTGCCATCGTAGTTGCTATTGCCGTTGCTGACCCTCGGTTTTCGACCAGCAGTGTTTATGCGGGGGCGGCGTGTGCCCTTTGCCTTTTAACGGCAGGTAGGAGGAAGGTTGGAGCACATCCTCAGAGCCGCCCCCCAGGACGTAAGACAAACGAGTTGCATCCACCCTGACCAGTTGACCCTAGGCCTGATAAGCATTGCCATGGTCCCGGCAGCTTTTCAATCCTAAACTCTGGCTTCAATCTTACAGGGGTTCTCCTGCACGAACGGCCCAGCGAAAAGTTTGTTCATCACACGTCTGAGGGTAACCACACTCATGGCGTAGTATTGAGATTTTCACGAAATGGGTCAAGATCAGGAGTCACTCGCACTGAAATATCCATGACAGAACGCTCTGCACTGGTGCTGCCCCCTTCATCCAGTTCTTGTTTTGAAACTTGCAGCAAGACTAGACCTGAGCAACAGAAAAAATGCAAAGCTGAGAACCTGCGTCATCATGCACAAACATCTTGAGAATGAGATCTCGTGCTTCAGACCGCATCTGCGAAACGGCACTCCTTCGTCTTACCGCTCGAAAAGCTGAATGTACGACTGCATACAAACTACAAGCTTAGCACCCAGGGCTTCAAGGGCAACACCTTGGCACGCTAAACCATTCTTAAGACTTGAGCACCGCTTGCCAATCAGTCGTTTGCGGTCCTGTCGCAACCGCCATCGCCGTGGCAGTAGCAGACATGGAACCTCATTAAATTATCGAGAGGCCAACTCGGCGATTTCGGGTTTCGGGCGGATGTCTCCGCGTCGTGTAAACTTATCCAATCGCCGACTTGTGCGTCTGCAGTTGCAAGTTCAGCGTCCATCGGCATGCAAACTCGTGGCAGATTTGACTTGAAGTCTTCTATCCCCTGAGAACATGTGCGTTGAACTCATCGTCTCCCGAACTCCGTGCCCCCACAATGCACCAAAAAAAGCGCAAGCACCCACGAGAAGGAACGAATCTCGACGACATCCTTTCATCTGATCCCCAACCTCTCGACGAGAGCGGCAGCAAGAGAACTAGGAACTGGAATGACGATCTGCGTTGAGAAGTCACGGTACAGGCCTTCGGTGCAATGTGGTTCCAATTCAACCCTAAACCCTCACTGCCCTAAACCCCTTAACCCTTAAACCCTCAACCCAGTAATCCTAACCTTCAGCCCCTATACCCTTTTACAGAACGTGTGGGTTGTGCAAACTTGCCTCGCGTGACTTGCAAGCTCTGGCATGTCGGACGGGACTCGCTGCTTTTCCCAAAGGGTCCAAAGTACCTACATAGTAGAATGTAGGGTTTCTATATTGGGAATCCTTATTATGCTATGGGAAAGTATCCCCCATAACAGTACCTGGGACCCTTTGGGTTTGAAACTGGGTGATGCCGCGGCTGTCATGGCTAGAATCGGGTTTGCGGGCTTCGTCACAGTCGAGTATATGAATTCTATGAGGACTGCCTTCGGAGACTACATAAATACTGCAAGGGGATACTATTGAATAATCGTTAACTAAACTTCTAGATTGCCGCAAGCTCGTGTGTGCATCGCGGGCCCGCAGATAATGTAGCGAGATTAAACCTGCCGGAATAGTTGCTCCTGTCACACTTTCTACTTCACAGGGTTGTGGGTTCAGGGCTGTGAGTTAACTCTTAGGTCTTGCCTTCAACAACCTCCAAGGTTTGGAATTGGCTTCCAGAGTCTCAAAACTCATGACAGGTGGGTCCCGAGGCCTAGAGGCCCAAATACTTTGCTCAGATCTGTTTAACACACGGATGAGATCTTCATGATTCAATATCTTGTAGCAATTCACCTGCAGCAGATTCAATATCTTGTAGCAATTCACCTGCAGCAGATTCAATATCTTGTAGCAATTCACCTGCAGCATGGCACCGTTGTGTCTGATGCCATTGAGCTTCAAAGCAGGATCGGTAAAATCACGTTGGGCTTCACGTGACCATCATGCGCAGAATGTTGACCCATCGTTGAAACCTAAACCCAATACTCTAAGCCCTACTTCCTAAACCGTACATTGCACCTCAAATGCGTAGTTCCCTCAACTAGGATCCCTTTTTATCAGGGTGCCGTACCATATTGGGGACCTGAAAGTGGACAATCATTTAGAGAACTACCCAAATCCGCGCTGTTTCCTGAACTCTGCACCTCCTAAAGGGCGTAAACTCTATCTCCTACATGCCATACCCTCCTGTGAGGTTCATGGGTAATTAAGGTTTCTTTGAGGCTTCTTTGAATTATGGATTCTATAGTGGTTTACAAGTTTAGGGTTTAGACTAAGAGGTTCATGGTGATCAGTGGGGATTATACGACCCCTAGTAATGGGCTATTTCTATAGTTACCCTACTTCGAACCCCCACGTATAACAACCCATGCGACTCAAAGTAGACTTCCCTGGACTCCTCCCCCCCCCTAGGTATAATTTTGTAGTAGTGGTTTAGGGTTTAGGGTTTAGGGTTTATGGTTTAGGGTTGACCTTTTTGAACTCTCCCTTCAGCGGGCTCTGACTACAAAGACGTGCTCTAAATCTCCAGCGATTCCCTGACCCTGAACCATGGACCCGCCGTATACTGCAAATACCAGGCCTTCAACAGCATAGCAACTTAAAGCTAAGATCAACCAGCCCGATCTTTAGGGTTTAGGGTTTAGTGTTTAGGGTTATGAAAGCCCTCTACAAGCCTTCAAAGAGCCTTATCAACGACGATGTGAACATTCGTTCGTGTTTGCACTGTATGGTTGCCAAGCTCTGTAGGGTTTAAGGTTCTGGGTTTAGGGCTTAGGGGTTTGGGGTTCAGGGCTTAAGGGCTCAAAGCCCTAAACTTCAGGGTTTAAGGGCTCAAAGCCCTAAACTTCAGGGTTTACGGCTCAAAGCCCTAAACTTCAAGGTTCAAGGCCTCAAAGCCCTAAACCCCTAACCTTCAACAGAGCCGAAACTTTGGGCACCCGACTGTTACGTGGAGTTGGACCACACTTGGAAGTTTCTGGCAAGGAACGTCCCTGATTTAGAGGTGGTTCAGATGAACCTCAGATAATATGGAAATCTAAATACAAGGTTCAGGATTCACGGTCTTAAATCCGAAAACAATTCGATCAGCAAGAGCCCCCGTACAAACACTTCAAGATTTTTTTCATGAGCGAATTAAGATCCTCGCTGTCAAGACATCCTCAGTATGGTTGCAAGGCTGCAAACTAAACCCAACAACTCCAGTAAACTGTCCCAGGGATCGCTGCAGTCGGGGTAAGCATCGGAGTCTCTAGTTTCTCAGGCGACTGCTGTCCCAGTGGAAGCGCAGTTCCAAGCTCGAACTCCTTAGTCTCTGGGAAGAAGCATTTTTCAAAGGTTTACGATGTGTAGGGTTCATGCGAAGAAGGCTCGCGCAGAAAGTAGGAATACCAAGTCTATGAAGACCCCGCCCAGCACGAGCACATATCTGTTTTTTGTGAAACTCCTGCCAGACATGAACTGCACGACTGAGGGCGCATGTTGCACACTAAGGTCAGTCTGAGGCAGGAGACCTTGCGAAAAGAACGAGTTTGGTCAGCTCACGCCTGAGCTTAGCCTGTCAGTCGTCAAAATATGTTTGCAGAAACATCAACGTAAGGTAATTGCCGGGAAAACTGTTCCTTAAGACTCTTCGTTACAGTTAATCCATCGCATAATATACTCAGAAACCATACTCCACCATTAAGGCCGCTATATAACCGAACTATCCTATAGTATCCCTAAACGGCCAAGTTGCTGCCTGCGTGCCATCACCGGCTCCGAGCGCGGAGAGGGCCGTGCGCCTGTCAGCGTTTTAGGGTTTGAACACTAAATTTTAAACCCAAAACCTTGAGACTCGTCAACGATAACCACGATCGAGTTCGGGTACAGGCAATTCCGATAGTTTACTTTCGTTATTAGTGAAAAGGTTCGGTGTGTGCGAACCCGTGTGGTAAGCTCTGACTCTTTTGAGCTCAGGGCTCCTATCCAGACATGCATCTAGGATTGGCTGCTACATCCTTAACCTTGACCTCCTTGTTAAGAAATCCTTTTACAAACCTTACCGAACCCTATTCACCTCCTAAACCCTCAAAGGCCAAAAAACCTCAAGCACCCAAAGCTGTAAATGCCCTTGCTTAACCTGCCTGGCATCGATATCTCGCCCAGGGAGGTCTCCGCAGGGCCGGTCAAGCCGATTCAGCTGAACTTGGCTTCGCAGGCCTGGCAGGTTTTGTAGGGTGTACAAGCTTTTGGGTACAGCGTTTCGGGCTTATGGTTGTTTCATCTGAAAACCTTACTTCAAGGATTCCCAGTCCATAACGACATGTCCGCGGATGCCTACCTGAGGATCCTCACTACGAATTAACGGATATTCCTTGACCAAATTATCCTGGAGCCAGTGGCCTGAATCCCCACATCCCCGAAACCTAAAACCCCCAAACACTCTCGCTCATATGTAGACTTGGGGTCTGGCTGAGGTCGTGCCCGCTGAGCCGCAGGACCTGCATGGCATTGTTTTGGGAAGGTTTTGGGGTGATGCAGGTGCTTTCATAGTTCGATAAGATTCATTACGGCTTCAGAAATGGTTTACTTCAAATTGCGCCCCCCCTAAACTCTGATCCTTAAGGTTCTTTCGGAAGGAGACCACTTATTCTCAAGGGTGCAGGTTGAGGGTGTTGGGGTTTAGCCGTAAACACTCCAAGTGCCGCCATGTGACGCAGAGGAGGCCCTGGAAACATCGCAAGTCCTCGTCGCGTTCAGACAGAAAGGAGTTCCAATTTTTCTGCGTCTTGCAAATGAAGGACGCACGAAACCTGCACCGGCACCTCATGCCAAGGAAAGAGGACTGCAGCTGAACGGTACAATCTAGGCCTGTTTGATGGGGGAAATGACCGTCAATAAAATTTTCCTAGCATCTCCATGCTTCTAGTTCGGGCAAAAGTGCATGTGCAGCCGTCTACGGTTCTCAACCATCTGCTCAAAAAGCCCACATGCAAAGGCAGCACCAGATGGGTCAAACTATTTCCTGACACTGGCGCACAGGCTACATCTTTCGACGACAACAAACGACCGGTCCGGAAACCCGTTGACAATCCTGGAACGTGTACAACTGAGACGTCCATTCCTGCCGGACATTTTGCCAATGCTGTTTTTATCACTACAGCGACGACGACGCCGACTGCTACATCGGAACCCGAATCGGAACCATAGTCGGTAAACCCTAAATCGAGCCCTAATCGGAGCCACGGTCGCAGCGCTAATCGGAACCCGAATCGAACCCGACTCAGAGAGAGGGACATCATGAACCTGTGGTGGCCAGGCGGGTGTGGCACGCTCGAGCACAACAACTAATATCTGTTCTTGTTACTGTACTTGTTACCCTGCCGCCCTGCACCACGCGGTTGTGGGCAAGCTCCGGCTAAGAGTGTCATCAGGCTTTTGGGTAGGTTGGGCACGTGTGGCAGGGTCGGGCCGGCACGCAGCATGATGAGCCATGAACTGTTGCCATCGCTGCTTATGGCTGGCTATGCCGGCCGGCTTGCAAACACAAGTTGTCGCACAGGAACTGAAGGATATGCTGTAAGTAGATGTCGGAGCCACAAGCTCCGCGCCTCGTTGATGCAGAGAGCAAGACTTGGACCCTGGGACCGGCGCGTGCTGGCACAAAGCAATGACTGCGGATCGGCTTGCAGTTCCACACCGCAGCATCTGTATTGGCGCAGAGTCTTGTGCGGACTTCGGCATTGCCGTCTAGCACAGTCTCACTGCCAACGTACGTCGGCAACAGTGATCCAGCAGCCAGCGCCTTTGGAAGCGATGTGCAACATTTGCCGCCATGTTCCGGCACTCCGGCTCCGGAGTGCGAAACTCCGAGTGCCAATTCACTGCAGCTGCGTCTGTGGCGTGAGAAGCAATAACGGTGTGTTGCAACCGAGCATCACGGAGCGGGAGCTCGAGGGAGCGGGGGGCGAGTGGCGTGTCCATGCAATGCAGCAAACCCCGAAGCGATCACAGTGGAGGACGAGGCGGGTCACTCGCGCCAGGGACCCACGGGAGAAATCAACCTTAGTGCTGGGGGCAGAACACCGGCGGATCATAATGCGCGGGACACTTCTCGAGCCCGCTTTCTTTCTTGATGCAACACCAGGGTCCAAAGTAGGAAGCCGTGCAGTTACGACAGCGAAAGGTGTGCAGCAGGCAGACCTCAGCCTTGAAAGAATCAATGAAGGGCACTGCTGCGCATGCGTGGCGGTAAGCCTTCTCCCAGCGTGGTGGCGACGTCTGCCCCACATGGAAGCTGCGACTGTAAGACTGACTATAGCACTGAATACTTACATCGGGCTATACCGTGAGCTTCTATAGCACGACAATCCCGGCTGCATATGATGTTCCTCGGAGCAGGTGGCTGGAGGCCGGAGCCTGTGTAGGAAGGCAAGAGCGCTACATAACTTCCTGATGTTGCCCCTCCCTGCTGCTGTGGCTCCCCATGCTGCCCCCCTTGTCATGTTCTGGAAGGTCAATGAGACCGGGCCTAGTGCCCCTCAAATGGTTGCCACAAAGCCTGTGGCCAGGCTTAGCTTGCAGGCTGCACCTGTGGCCATCCCATTTTCGGGCAATGCACTGCATCAGGGCTGTGCTGGTGCCTGGCTTGAAAAGGACAATTGAGCACAAAAAGCTGCAGTCAAAACAACAACCATCCGGACCATGCCAGCCCGAGGCTTCCAGGTGGGCGGGGAGCCGGAGTACGGCCTGAAAGACCTCCGTCACTGCGTCGATAATGTCTCGCATGAGCACTGGGTCTAACAGGTACAAGACAGGCTTCCTGAACGAGCTTTTGCTCTGCGGCGATGAAGGTTCTAACTGGCCCTCCCACCAAACGAGCTTTCTTCACCCCTGCTGTTGTCGGGTTTTAGTTTCGTTGGCCTTGTCTTTTGTGAGCATCGTGC